GATGCTTGTTTACACAAACCGCCCCTCTGCATTTTCTGGGATCAATTGTATGCATACATGATATGCATTCTTGTAGCACTAATAAAGAGGATTCTTTAGAATCCCCAAATTCTTTGGCTTGTTTTGAATATTTTTTCAATGAAATAAAAAGATTCAGGCTCTTAGCCATTGGTACAGTGCTTTGTTTCTTTTGAATGTCTAGGATTTTGTCTGAGGCACCTCCCATCAACCCGTTTCTTCTCAATCATAGATCATATAATCAAATGCAGAGGATGCATGAAAAAGAAGCTCGTTTTTCCTGTGAAGGAATGTTTTTCAACTGTTGTATGACCAGTACAGCTCTGTACTAAAAGCAAGTTTTGGGGGGCAATGATGGAGCAGCATGAAGATGGGCCAAGTAAGAGGAAAAGAACTGAGGAAGAAGGAACAGGAAATTGAAGGGGGGCACAGGTCCAGACTTTGCACTGAGGCCCATAACTACATCATGAACAAAATTCCTAGGCATAGCTATCACAAAATATGGAAAGTAATAAGATAGACAGACATTGGGCTTATTTTTTTTTTATGCAGAAAGGAAAACTTGAGCTGTTACCAGTCAAAAACACTTTTGACAAAAACAGAATTTTTCATGCATTCCCATTAAATTATCTTGAAGACAAAAAACAAAAATGTCCCAAAGAAGCTCCTGTGCTTTTTCTGAGCATTGAGCAACAGTATATTGTGCAGATGTGGACGGGTACAATAGAATAACATGAAAATCTGAGTGTCGACTATTGAAACGCTTGTGTGAATGGGGGCTAACAAATGGAGTATGGTTCCTTGCAATGTTCAGCATCTCTAACCTCCCAGTTTTTATAAATAAAAATGTCCTTTTATAAGAAGAAATTCACTTGTTGGCATAATAGTACCAACTGCTCAATTAAAGTACTCACATTTTGCAACTACATCCAGGACAACAGCAAAGGGTGTGAGTGAGCCTTTCATGAACAACAGTGCAACTGTGTCTTGTATGGAAAGTGGACTTCCACCTTGTCCATAATATAGAAATCCAATTAAAAGTGCCATCAAAACAGCCTCGACACTGTGGATAAGCAACGTTGTCAGGTCCCGCAAGTCGTTTGAAACATGACGACTAAAGAAGAGAAGAATACAAAAAAAAAAAATTCAAATCTTTAGAGGACATCAGACGTAAAGGTAAAAATGAGATGCATAGGTAGCAAAAAAAAAGCTTATCCTGCAAATAGGCGACTCAGTACCACCTAAACTATACAAATAACTGTTAATGGTGGATTATTCCAACACTCTATAATTATTTTACATCATATCACTTCTGACGTATATTATACTTCCATCTCCACCTCCTCTATTATATCCAAATTGCTCTCTTATCTGGAAATTAAAGAAGTGACATAAAATATCTTTATAAAAATGTAGAAAACCCAGAAAATGTTCAAATAATGTTGGTCAAAAATCATTATAGAATTCTTTAAACTACGATGTTAATAATGTGAATTAAAGTGTAATTATATACCTCAACTTTATTTAGGTTTGGATAGACCAGGAGTGGGCTAAAGTCTCTGGTAGTTTTTAATTTTTATAATCTACATCTAGGTGGAGGGGATTTCCTATTACTTCTTGTTCTAACTTTTTAACGTTTTAATTTTTTCCCCTCTATCCATAACCAAAAAAAGAATGAATCCAGAATTAGATATAAAATGTGCCTAAAGCCAATTTTTGTTTTGTCACCTGTCTGCCAGCTGTCTATGAGTGGATTTCTTTCACTTTGGAGTGATCTTCTCCCCCCATTGTATCTACAGAACAGAAAGTTAAGGGAAATCTTTGCATTGGGAAAGCAAACAAATCAAACAAAGCATGATAGAAGTTTAACCCTTCTCTATCCAAATAAAAAAAAAAGTTTTGGCTTTAAATATACTTTATTGCAATGTTTGTATATTTATAAAGTTGTGCTAGTAGATTTAGTGGATGTTAAATGTCACATCATTACTAATATATTTTAGCCACATTTTAGCTCAAAACATGAATGTATTGTTTATAATCCAAAGGGACATACTTTAGCAGTACTGAGAATTGGTGAATTCCTTTAGGTAGCTTATCCTTCTCATATTTATCGATAGTAATGACTTTATTTGCAGTAGGTGTTGGCAGGCTACTGATAGAGGAAGAGAGGAAACAAAAAATAGGTTAACTCAGAATACAGAGCTAATGCAATTTGTCAACACCACCCATTAATTAATAATGTTATTAATAATAAAATAAGCACAAATGCCTCAGTCAATATTACAAGCTTGTCAGCATGACAGATCATTCTAATTGACAAATATCATTATTAGTTTTTAATAGTGCAATGTGGTAGAAATAGACCAACAGGTCCAGGTCAGGGGGCCACATAATTCATAGTTTAGGCAAGCAGCACACAGAGCTTAATTCATTATCAACTATTGTTATGTTAGGACCACATATTTGATTCCTGTGGTAATAAGGTATGCATTTTACTACATGGAAATACATCTTAAAGGGGTAGTTTACTTTCAAACAAAGTTTACTTTCTCTTTTTGCCCACCCACCACTTTAACTAACCCTCCCCCTACCAGCTTACCAATTCTTGTAGCCACAACTTACTGGCCTGAATCTTCCTTCTGCTGTATGCAATAGTTTCCCATAAACCCAACTGTTGAGTGTCTCCTGGCTTGGGAGACAGCTCCATGGGGGTTTATGGGGTTCTTCTGCATATGCATGGAGTGTGTGAAGAAAAACCAAGCTGGTAGGATGGCAGGTGGTAAACATTGTGGGGGCCAGAGGCTGCATGAACTCAGTAAATATGCGGGTCGATGGAGGAAGGTGTGTTAGCTAAGCAAAGCAATAACAGTAGCTGCAAGTAGAAGGTGTGATTTTGTGCAGGAGGGGCTGATATAAAGCTAAGAATACTGAACATCTAGGAACATCTTTGGTATAGATATTTAACCAATGACAGATAAAGCCACTCTGGCTTATCTTATAAAATAGCCAACACATAGGGGGGCAGACAAAGCAACCCAAAAGGCCTTCAACTAGAGGCCATGACTTGACAGTCAGAAATTGTACAATTTCACACACAACATACCGGGTTTCACTGGAGATTAGATCTGTGTTTTCATCTTGGGCTTTCCACAGGAAATCATCAAAATTGTTGACTTTTTGCTGGAAAATATCAGCAAGAGTTCTGGTTTTCTCCAAGCATTCCATCTCCTGTTCTCTGGTTCGCTGGTCAATGCTAGTGAGATCAACTGCAAAAAAGTAAGAGGAGGATAACTGTACACAATGTGTCAGGGAACACTTATATACTCAAAGTATTTTTGGAACAAAAAAAATCAAACAGAAAGCACAAAATCCAAAACGAAAAAAAAAAAAAAAACAGACAAAAGACCAGTTTAAGATCAACTTTCAATCAAACACAAAGAAGAAACTCTCCCTTATTGAGCTACTTAGGCCTAATTTGCCTGGGAAAAAAAAATATTTTTTTGTTAAGAAGGTGTGGGTTTTTAGGGTAGTTTAGTTTAGTTTATTCCGTGATTCTTTGTATTTGTATCTTTTTATAATTATTATTTATTTTACTTTTTTTGAAAAAAATAAAATAAAATAATGGGGCTAATGAGGGGTCATTTTTGGTACAAGAACATGTACAGGATAGTTGAATGGAACTTCTGTATCCCTCAAGAATCATTAAAAGCCAATTGCATCAATTTCACCTCCAAGATTGACTCTATTGCACTTTCCCAATTTCTGGAGTAATACAAAAATCTGAATCATCTTCACTCATCTCTAATTAACTCTTGCGAAAGAAGGGAGGGCAAGAAATGGTATTAGATCTCTATTACTATTGGTGTCCCTGTACAAAGATTTCTTCCAGTCCTGCTGGCACTCTGATCCTACCCTGATATATGGGTAGTGAGGGAGATCTTCCCTGGAATGGCAAAACAAAACTGAAATAGGTTCTAGCCTTTTCCACTCAACTAAAATAGGTGTTTGTTCTTTTTGGGGGCATTTTGCTGCTTGGGTCTCCAATGTCAGAGAGACAAGCTAATGGAAATCTAAAGTAAAATTTCAAAAATCTAATAAATAACTACAACTGGGGGTATTTTATAAATCATCTGTATTCTAGCAGCCAAAAATGATTTGTATAAGATTTTAGAATGACTTACCATAGAAATCAGCAGGGTTGCTGTATCTTGGGCATGGGTAGCCAATAGAAGTGAAATACTGCACCATGTCTTTGGCTGTTCCAGAGTAGATTGTGGAACCTGATGACAGGAGCAGAACCAGATCAAAAAGCTGGAATATGTCTGATCGGGGCTGATGGATTGATAATAAAACCAGGCGGTTTCCCCTGGCAAGTCTGGACAAGGTTATCACAAGATTGTGAGCTGTAAAACTGTCCAAGCCAGAGGTAGGTTCATCAAGAATCAAGATGCCTGAAAGACAAAAGAAAAATGAAATGAAAATGTTTTGGGTTTGAGGTTTTTGAGACAATATAAGAATACTAACAATCTATAGTGTGCAATCTTTTACAATCCTTTACTAGCAAAGCGTTCATATTGTCTCTGTTGGGAAGATGTTGTCTGATGTATAGACCTTTATTAAAAAAATGTATTATGTAACTAACAAAAGTGTTTTTTTAAAACCACTTTGCAGGCAAAGTTTCTCCTTACTTTAGTAAATGAAGTGAAGCTGTGCGAACCAAAATATTCCCTAAAAAGTGCAGATTTCCTTGCAAAGTGAACAGCCTAATTGCCTTAGTGCTTCTGCTGTGAATTTTGAAGATGGATTGCCCCACAGTACCTGCGGCTATAGAGGTCAGCCTGGCAGTGGCGTCACTACAGGGGGGCAAGGGGGGGCAACTGCCCCCCCTAGGTTTTCACTTGCCCCCCCGTGTGCCCCCCCGCCAGGGATCGGCAAGGTGTTTGTGACTGGTCCTTGCAGGGTCCGCCGCGGTCGTACGGAACAGTTGGTACGTCCCAACACCCCCGTCCAATTTGATGTTTTGGTACCTTCCTGCCTTCGTGCAGGAAGGGTTTTTTTCTCAGGGGCGGCCGCAGAGCTTTCACAGCAGAGTGGCAGAGCTTGATGGCTGTTCGTGGCTGTGTGTAGTGAAGTCAAGTCACTGCACTGGTAAGGTAAGCCTGCAACGATCTGGAGCTGGGGGGAAGGGAACAGCAGCAGCAGCTAGCGCTGGCGGATCGGAGCGGGGAATCCAGCCTCTCCCCTGTTATGGCAGAGAGCCGTAACAGGATCGAGAGGTGAGAGAACGCCGGTATGTGTTCGCTCACTTCCCGATCTACTGAGCCGACCTGTGACAGTCTCATTGTCACAGGTCGGCTAGAACTATGAGGTGAGTGAAAAGCACTCACCTCATAGTTCTCCTTTAATCTAAGTGGGAGGCTTAGAATAATAGGGAAGCCTTGTATGGAGTAAAGAACCGCAGGATTTGGGTCACTTGTTCACCTAGACACTGCCTCACATGGAGGCCCCACAAACGCACAGGGACGCCTGTCCTCCAAACACCTCCCAGCCCACCCGTACCCAGTACAGCACAGGGTTTGGTCCTCGCTCCTCTCCCTCTTCCCTGGGAGGACGGTTTTGGTGTACTGCCCGGTTGGGGTCGTCTTGGATACACGCACGTCAACCTGCTAAATGAATTCTCTCCATCTCCTGAAAAAGCGCCTCTGATCGCGAAACGTCGAGACAAATATTCGCTCCACCATTCTCAACCATCCTTATTCATGTATCTATTATTCTAATCTTAGCTTCTGAGAAGATACACTATTAGCGTAGCGGGAGCTATGCAAAATGCGCAGCTGGCTTCCCCGCTATGCTAATAGCGTATCTTCTCAGAAGCTGCACACAGCGCGCCAGTTTAAGTAGTAACCAGCACACGCTGTATGCAGCTTCTGTCGCAACTGCAGGGCGCAGATGCCATCGGCAATTAAATCAACTCTTGGCGCCCATCGGTTGCGACATGCAATTAAAATGATTAGTGCCCCCCCAGATCTGACTGTGGTATCTTATGTGCCCCCCCTAAATATTGTTCCTAGAGTCGCCACTGCAGCCAGGGCTTGTATAAAAGCTAATTTACTGCTTGTTAAGACTTTAAAACTTGTACATATTGGAATACTTGGCAACAGATTGGCTTCAAATATATAACTGGTCCATAATTGCTTACCAGGATTCCACAAAAGTTGGACTGCAATGCTGACTCTTCTCCTCTCTCCTCCAGACACTCCTCGTGTGTATGCATTTCCCACTTTAGTGTTTTCACATTGCCGTAACCTGAGCTCAGCTATAACATCTTCCACCTTTAAGGAAATTACAATATTATGGTCACAAATGGCACTTGGGTGGAAGTGTATAAGAAACCAAAGCGTTTTTAACATTTGGATAAAGTGTCAAAACCTCTTTTTAAAAATGCTGCCTGTTTCCCTGCGGGGGTGATCCTTGCTCACCTTTTGCCCTTAAATTTTGAGTTTATGTTTAAAATGAACAGTATATCAATACAGTGTTCATTGCTGCCCTGGTTTGAACAAGCTCTTAGGACACGGGGGGCAGTTTTTCTTTCTAAAAACAAAGCACTGCTTAGAAAACTTTGCCCGGTCTGGCAATTCCTGAAAAGTAACATTGTGGTAGGAAGTGCTGGACTACTAGATGTGCTTGTATTTGTCCTAAATACTTTTATACTCCTTGTGGATCTGTAGGCAGCTCTCTAGTCATAAGGAGCCTTTATGGTAGTCCTTACAGAATCATGAAGGAAGGAATTGTCCACCACCTTTTGTGGGCTTAAGAGGTCCCCCTTGATCAATAATGGTCTACAGTCTGGACTGAGATGATATGTTGGTGTAACACACTATTAATATAGGGTTATGCAGTGCTTGTTTTAGCTCACATTTGGCATAGAAACCTTACAGGCTTGCCCACAGTTCAGGCAGGGTGCTGTAGTGAACTGGTAGATAGCACCACCACTTTAAAACTGGCAGGATCATAAGCTGGGAACCATATCTACAGTCACTTCTCTTTGACCACAGCTGTTAAAGGATATCTAAACCCAAGAAAAAAAATTGTTACCAGTCATTATATGTGGTGGCTGCAGTGTGGAAAATAGACATTCTGTCACCCGGGCAAAGGCTCAGAGTTGCTCCCCCTCCCAAGGGAGAAGTTCTCCATCCACACACCCAGTGGTGCCCCTCCTAAAGTGGCACCCGGGGGAAAAGCCCCCACAGCCCACCCTAGCTTTGGCCCTGGGTGGCTGTATTAGTTTTATTTTTTCTGGCTAAGAACATTTACAGTCAGTACAGAAAATACCTGTTGATCTTGCCAGAAATACCACGTCCTTGTCACTTCCTATAAATTGAACTAAACACACAAACATTATTTTCCAAGCTGTTTTCTGTAAATGACTAATTCTCTTCCCCCAATGTAGTGGAGATGAATAGAAGAAGACCTATTTCTATTCCAATTCAGGAAAGTATCCTGTGTGACAGCCATGGCTCCTTCTATAGATACAGTGGAGCGAGTGATTGTTGCCACCCAAGAACAGTAAGTGTGTATTTGGAGGATTTTCAGGTAAGAGTAAAAAGAAAAAAAAGCCAGTAGAAAGGAAACAAATGCAGCCACCAAATATAAGGACCGGTAAGCCGAAATATATTACATTTTGGATTTTGGTATTATATGTCCTTAAATAGCAGCTCAGCCAGGTCCTCATTTTTCTGCTTATTTCTGGTCATGCTCACATGCATTCTGCTGCATTACAGTATTAGCATGTATTGTAGATATAATATAGGGCAGGTGATAAAAAGAAAACATTAGTCTGTGAATCCAGCTGCAATTACAGAATGCAACGGGCTGAATAAATCTAAAGGATTGTATTCATGTAGATCTGCAGCTCACCCGCTTTTGCCGCTGCTTGTCTGAGTAGGATTTAGGGAGGCGGAGTTTGGCAATAAAGGACAGCGTTTCTCGAACAGTGAGGTGCGGCAACAATTGATCATCCTGAGGGACATGAGCGGCACACTTCTTCACCAAATTCTTTGTGCTGAGTTTCCCATTTATGAGGATTTGTCCTGATTTAATCTTCCCACCTTCATCCTTACATGTTATGATGTCTAAAAGAGTTGTTCTTCCACAACCTTAACAGAAGGAAGAAAACATTTTTAAAAATCCACAAAATCAGAATTCTCTTTGTCTTACATCAGCGCTCACCTCTCTACCCCCTCCGCTCCGTCTGTGATGTACCCTTCCTCACATCTAATACAAGTGAATGGACCTTGCATAGATGAGATGATGTCAGCGGGGCTTAGACCGATGGAACCTGGGTAAGAAGAGGCTGCAGGGACGATCTAGCAGCACGGTGGGAGTGAGTATATCTTTTTTATGTTAGACTCTAGACCAAACTCAGCAGTTAACCCTTGCAGTGCATGGGTAGCCCCACTGCAAGGGTTAATTTTGTACATGCTTGGAGTTCTTTGGATTAATGAGATATGGACTAATGAGATTCTTTGCATTAATGAGAAATTAACTAGTTTTCTAATGGACACATATGGAAAATGTCTCCATATATATAATATTTCCAGAATGGTTATACTCACCCACTTACAGATCTAAACCATTAGAAATACATATAATTTTACACACAAATCAAAATTCAAGCATACATCTATTTTACAAACAATAATAAAAGCCATCTAGATATATTTCTGGGCTACTGTGGAACACTTAAGATCTAACCTGTCATTGCATAGTTTCTACTTACTATATAGCAACAAATCCATTTGTAGATTTCTTAAGAGACATTACAAGGAAGGTGATACATCTTATTTTCATAATAAATTTGACTTCTCTGCCTTACAATATGGAATTTGTCTTAAATCTGCCAATGTTGGAATTGTAAAATGCTGGAAAGGAGGGAAGAGAGTAAACGACGAAGAAAGACAGGCAAAAAGGATGGATGGAGGGAAGGATATAAGAAAGCAGGGCAGAAAGGAAACCAGGCAGGAAAGATGTAGGGAAGGTAGGAGGGCAGGCAGGAAGTATGTAAGGAAGTAAGGCAGGCAGGTAGGATGTAAGGAAGGAAATTGGCATTTAATAATAATTTCCCCCATCTAACAAAGACACATGATACAAAAAAATAAACCCCTCTTTACCTGAATTCCCAATGACTGCCAACATTTGTCCACTACTGACTCTGACATTTAGGTTTTTCATTGCTGCTGTTTGGGATCCTTTGTTCCATTCCCAGGGCATTTTAAACTCTGCAAGCTTTTCATACCATGGAATCTGATCGTTTAAATTAACCTTGAAAAAAATATTTTATACTTTTTAGAGATATTTTCAGTTAACTGAACATGTGAATTATTAACCAAATGCACATATGTAAAATGTGAAGCAGTACTCCTGCGGTTTGTATATCAAGTCCATAATGTCAGATCAGAAATGGCATTGCACTACTTGTTTCTGCACATCCTTACCTGGTAGGTCAAATCTTTAACTTCCAGGACATTTGGTGGTCCTGAGTATGTAAAATACAAGCTATTGTCCTCTTCAGGCACAAATAAGTCTGGAACTACGTCTGACTGCAAGGGAAAATGTGTACCTGTTACTCCAATAGAAATGATGCATTCTTAAATTAAGGGCACAAGTAAAATGTAACTAAAATTAAAAATGTTGATATATCAAAGTGTATTTAAACCCAAGAACAAAAATGTAATATAATGGGGCTTAGATGTGGTGATTTCATTATTTTTTTCAGCTTTATTTTCATCTGGTGATCCTGCCAGTGACACACTTTCTGTGTTAGGGACACAACGGTCACTCACTGTACTGTATCTATGGAGAAACAGCCTACGCTGCTTTTTCTGATTTAGACTAAACCAACTCCTCATTTGAAGCCGGTTATTTGCAAGTTAAATACAGATATTAATGAATTCTGAATGATCTATGAAGCGTCTCACTAATCTCTAACTGATGTCATCACCACAAACCCAAAGCCCACTTACACATGGCCTTATTCAGAAGCCCAAAATCCACCTTTTTGTAATAAAGTTACAATACATTTGCTATATAAAAACATATAGGCTAATGAAGTGGCTATGACAGGTTAATATTTTCCTGGCTGGCTTCACACATGTGTGTTGCATTACTGCAATGCATTTTAACACACAGCACTTTCTGAATTGCAGTGTCACTAATTTAAATTGACACCCAATGCACAAATACATTAGGCACCCACACACTGGTGGTGCATTACAGCAAACATGCCATGCACTGTGGTACACTTTGTTAAAGTTTTTATCCACTGCTGTGCATTGACAGCTGTGCATTTTCCGCCTATTCTTTAATGAATGGGCCTTCTTAATGCAACAACAAATAGTGCACATTAACAAACCGCAACGAATCATTATTGTGCGAAGTTGTCTTAAGGGTCCATTCAAACCAGATCCATTGCAATGCGATCCATTTAAAAAAAGATGCTAAAGGAAGGGCACCAAAAAAAAATAATGGGTGTGAATGGGGTTAGTTCACGCTGCTCCCTACCATTGCATTATGTTGCGCTGTAAAAAAAAGTAGAACATGCACTACTTTTTTTCAGCACTATATAACACAACAGATCCAGTGTGAATTAGCCTCATTCACACCCATTCATTTATCGGTGCCCCTCTGTTAGCAGCTGTTAGCATTCATTGAAAAATGGATCGTAACGCAACAGATCGGTAAGGAAGTTGTAAGGTACAATTGCAGGTCAATTGTGCAGGTCTGCAGGCCAATTGCAGGTCTGATTTTTTTCCCAATTTCCTTCCAAATTTGGTCTGGTTGCACCCTATTAGTAGCGTTTGGCCTGTTTTCTGACTATTGAGCCTCCTTACTGGCTCTTGTGATGAATGTTGAACTTACTGGGAGGCTCTGAAAATGAAAATAGAAGGGGGTTTTGCTCAACTTTTACAGAACATGTTGCATATAACTTCAGCTGCCTTTGTCTCTGGATCTACTCATCTACTCGTCTCCTGAAGAGAAACAGTGAAAACACGATAGGTAATCTCTGGTTATAATGATGTTCCACATAAGCTGAGTTTTAATTGCTCAGGTCTGTGACTGGCATAAAATCTTAGTATACTATTTCCTAAACTGATCTAGCTGTACAAGCAAAATGTGTAAAATTGGCATATTGTATATAGCTCTATTCTGTCACAGACATATTCATATAGTACAACCCCCACCCCCTACGTGTGTATACTTCCAGGAAACCTTTTTTTTTCCTAATTCAGTTCAATATTTTAACCCAACTGCAATAAATCCTACACCTAAACAGAAAGCTGTCAGATCCCTTACATTTCAAAGATACAAAGAGCAAAATGAAATCACACAATCATTAGAATAATTCAACAATTCAATATGAAAAGCTGACACATGTCGCATTTCTGTGTCCCCTTCACCAAGGCTAAAAATAAGAAGCCATTCTTAAATGAAAAAAGAATTCTGATCCCTTACATTGTATCGATGGTTAAGGAGCTACCCAAGTGAAATTTTGCAAAAACAGAAATTGGAAACTACACTCCTGCTTAGCCCAGATTGCGTAAATTGTTCCCCCCTTTATTTAGAAAGTGTGGGGCTTTTTTTTGAGGGGTGGGGAGGCGGGTAGGGATGCATTAAGTTATATAATATTTTAATTAGTGTTCTTTGTGTCAGCGTCTTCTTTAACCTTTTTTTCGTATTTGATTTGATAATTGTATGTCATATCTGTAAGGACTTTAGACAGTGAGGTCCTTTAGTAATTGTCACTGATATGAAGCTTTCTGTGTATTAAGTGTACTGTAAGGGACGGGTATAATATGAATACAGGAAATACAAAAAGAGGCCATTTTATACTATTCCAAAATAGCTTTTGTAATATGTTTTTTTTAAATCTTATAACTCTTTTTACTGAGCTCAAAAAAGATAGCTGTACAAGAGTTATATGTTGTACAATAGTGGTAGTACAGTAGAAAATAGTATCAGGAAATTGTATTATAAATATGATAAATAATAATATAAGAAATAACACCAGAGATTGTTGATCCAGGGAATATCCGATTACCTTAGGGGATCAGGAAGGATTTCTTTCCCGCTATTGGAGCAAATTGAACCATGATTTACAATGGGTTTTTTTTGCCTTCCTCTGGATTAACTGTGGGTAACTGTGGCCATAGTGTTCTGTTTATGGATGTTTTATATTCATTCTTTTTTTTTTTCTCTTTATTGGTTGAACGCAATAAACTTTGACTTTTTTTCAACCTGACTAACTTTGTGACTATGTAAATTAAAACTCTTACAAGGAACTGGAGACCACTTTATAACAGCTGGTGCTTGTAGCTGAGAACTCAGGAGTAGAGATCACTGCTGGAAACCTCAGGTTTAAAGGGGAAGCTTAAGGTTTACATGAATTTTATCCCTATAGTTGTATCCTAGAAAAAATCCTTTCTCAAAGGCTCAGTTTACCAAAAACTGATATTTCGTTTTTTGGTGGATGCTGGGGCGTAAACTTACCTGACAATTCATTAAATTTCTCCAAGAATCTATGTGTAAGATCTCTGTACTAAGTTCCTGAGTCTGTACATTACCTGTGGCCATTATGAAAGATTCCTGCTTTCCCTGGTGGATTTTTTTAAATTTTATCCAAAGGAGCTGGAATACCCAAAGCTAGGCAGGAAGACCTAGAACTCCCAGGAACAGATTTGGGAATTATGACCCGGGAGACCTCAGATCTTGGAGAATACAATACATTTAAGATACTAGGGACTGCGGACAGGTATGCGGATCTCAAACCAGAATCTCTAACTTTGTTTGTTCTTGTTTCCGCTTCCCTTCTCTTACTACATAAGCATAATGATATCACTGCTTCGTAATGATGTCATATTGATAAGCACTAGTTTATTTATCTAATAAATTAAAAACTTGCAGAACATTTTGATGGCAAATATGGAATCATTGTATGCATTTCCATCTACAGATTTGCAATGTTCCCTTTTCTCTATTGCAATAATAAAAGATTAAAGTTAAGATGCTAGAGATTGACTCACTCATAATAAAAATATGACTTTTAGGTGGACCGGTCTTTTAATTACATCAAAACAAAGGCGTACATACCTTTACAGAAGGAAACCGAGATTGCCTTTTTACCAACTCAATGCCTTTAGTCTCTTCCATTTTATATTCCGGTCTACTGGCTCAAATCTTAATCCCGTTGCCAGTGATCACAATGCTTGTGTTGAGTTCAGCTCGCTCTGAGAGGTCACTAAACTCTGACAGCTACCTGCATAAACTCTAGCAGGTCATACCAGCTCTTCTGTATTAAACACGCCCTTTTCAAGGCAAATGTCATCTAATAAATTGCTTTGTCTTTTTAGATGCAAGGTACGGGTCTAAAGTATTATCAGATAAGACAATTACACTTCCCAGCCAACTGCATGTTCATGAAAGTTAAATGCTGCTGCAGAGGAATAGATCTAGTATAAGCTTTGGGAGCTTTCCCTGAGGGATTTCATGAAGACAGCAAAGGATTCCATGCTTGACCACCTGTACAGGTGAGCCAGAGGACCTTATATCATCAGTTCAATGTGTGGAGATAGTAGAAGTGTACCCTATGGAGCTTAGCCAGGGCCATAGAAGAGAGGGGTGGGGGGCAGCTGTAGTACACAGAACACACAAAATTGTATTTGGGAGAAAAATGGTTAAACTTTTAAATTTTCAGTTGGATAGCCTTTTGGGAGGACCTACCACCATGCTATCTGAGGGTTGTTGAGCGGTTCTTTACAGGCACACCTGGACATGTAAATGTGTGAGTTTGCATTAGATATATTGTTTATGCTGCACCTTTATACATTACATTTACACATAGGTGATTGTGCATACCAGTGACGTGCAGTAAGGTCCCTCTTTTCTTCAATAACATTGCAAAGCTGACCATAGATTTCTACGTCACTCCATCACATATCATTAGAGAGAACAATATATCTTAGATCATTTTAAAAGCTGTCCTCTCTTCCCTACACTTGTGTGATAGGGAAAAAGTAATTCACATGAAACACTGACGTCAACACTATAAATTCAGCCTAGACAATTATCAGGGTGATTTTTATTAATGTCATTGATCACTAACATGTACATACGTTTCAACTCCATTGTTTCATAATTCAATTATTTAAATATCCTTTTTGTTTGAGAGAAGTCAAACTGTAGGTGCACATTTTGATTACAGCTAACCTCTTTTTTAGATTAAACTGAGGAAGCAAATAGGTTGAAAAATGATTCTGCAATCTCAGCTGGGTTGCTTGGTGTCTGCGATCTATAATTTTGTTTTTTGTTCAGTTACTTTTTTGTGACACGTATAACAATTTTGCTAAATAGAGTTTGTCTATTTTTTTCTTGTTCACCCCATTGTGATAATAATGCTACAAAAATAATAATGAATATTGTGTGTATGTAAAAAAAAATGATGCTATGTGTGGCTATCATTATGTCAAGAAGTCTCTGCGTAATAAATTTAGAGACTGGTTGGAGGTGAGTGCCATTCATAGCTTAAAACCAAAAAGACCTTAGCAAATAGTGTAAGGAATGTGATACCTCCTTGGCTGCAGCAGGCTCACTCAGGGGGAACAGACCGCTCTCTCCTCCTTTCTTAAAGTGTATTTCCCCTTTTGCAGACAAATTGGATAACACTTTCTATTTGTTACATGTTTCTCATTCACATAGCATCATTTTAAAATTTAAATAATATAAAATTAAATTAAAATTAAATTGCTGCTTGCATAAAACTTGCTCAATTCTCAGAGAAGAGTTTTCCCTGTACTGAATTTTCCTCTGGAATGCATGGGGAGTTTAGAGGGGAATAGTTACGATAATTAACCCTGCCTGTACTGTCTTGGCAGGTCTCATTATTAGCTGTAAACTATATTTGAACACAGCCTGTCCTAACCTGTGGCATCACAATAGGGGTGAAACCAAAATGACTGACAGTCATTTCGTGTCACCGCCTCTGAAAAGTCAGGCACTCTGTCATGGACCAAGAGCTGGACAGCTGTGTGAGAGAGGAGGGGACCTTATCCCACCAGATGGACATCCCATCCTCTCTTTGCCGTCGTCCATCACCAAGATGACCGCTGGCAGTAAATGACGTGATGTCATTAAGGGCATGTGTGATGGCATCCCAGCAGCGCGTGACACCTGGCCTGGGGATGACTCTGGTCCTAACAAAGTGTTAAAGGTCTAGAATTTTGGCTCCTTTCATTGTATGTTAATGAGGGGATCTCTAAGTCTGTCCTTAGTCTTTGTCTTAGGGCAATCAGAGTTTCCTATTAATGAAATTGAAGAGAAACTTGCAAAGGAATGCTAAATAGAGATAGAGACAGGTAAGAATTACCGTATTTTTCGCTCCATAAGACGCACTTTTTTCCCCCCAAAAGGAGGGGGAAAAAGTGTCTGCGTCTTATGGAGCGAATCCCGATGCCCGAGACATGCAGTTTCGGGCGCCGGGCGAGTAGCAGGAGCCACTGCTCATTTAATACGAGTGATCTAACGAGATCACTCGTATTAAAGCCGAGCAGCGGCGGCGGCGATCGAGTTCAGCAGCAGGAGCCACTGCTCGTTTAATACGAGTGATCTAATGAGATCACTCGTATTAAAACCGAGCAGCGGCGACGATCGAGATAACCATAGAGCAGACGAAGAATAGACGTTCATCACACGTGTCATCACTGAGACCGTGGCGCTGTAATCACAGCGCCACCTGTCTCAGCGGTCACTAACTGCAGCTTCTGTCACAGCTTCTGTCATAGCAGCTGTGACAGAAGCTACAGTCTCGAGTGCTCCATAAGGTGCGCCGGACCTCCCTGCGTCCTATGGTCCGGTGCGTCTTATGGGCCGCAAAATACGGTATTTTGTAACCACTTTCGGGCCGCAATATGTCTATATACGGGGGGCCGCAGAAGTGGTTAAACCAAGAACACGGCTGCTGCAGTCGGTGTCATTTTAAAAAGGTCTCGTTTTCAACAGCCGATAATGGCTGTTAATGTACAAGCGATCCGGCGTCTATACTGCCACCAGATCGTTTGTACGGTGCGGCGCTGTCCCCCCACCGCGGACGCAGTCGGCTTCTCCGGGCTCCGCTGTACCCCACTGATCTCTCCTCCGATCAATGGACCCGGAAATTATATGTATTACATTTCTTCCGGTGTCACTATTTATAGTCTCCGGCTCTTAGAGTCAGGAGAACACGCTGGGGAAGCAGATCTCTGCTTAATCAGCTTCTTTGGGGTCCCTAGGTGGCATTAGGGGTCCTGAAAGACCCCTAATGTCTCCATAAAGAGGACCTGTCACACCCTATCTGCTATTACATAGGGGGCTTGTTAGCTCCCTATGTGATAGCAATAAGGTTAGTGTAAAAAATAAATAAAAATGTTTAAAAAAATTAAAAAATTAAAGTCTAAAGTATAAGAAACTTTAAAAAATGTCAAATTTTTTGTTAAAGTCCCCTGCCCCCCTTGTGCACGCACATACACACGCAAACACGCGTTGGTGCGCCTGCGTGCAAAAACAAAAATTGTGCTACACATGTTACATATCGCTGCAAACGTCGGAGTGCAAGCAATAATTCTAGGGCCATCAATCACTGTTAGCACTAAACTGATGAGCGGTAAAAGCTTTTAAAATGTCACCTATGGGAAATTTTGGGTATTGTAGTTTTTTGGACTTCACGGGCAAACGCATTTTAGATTTTCATTTAAAGAACAATTTTGTTAAAACTCTTATTAACCCTTGCAGTGGGGCTACCCCAACACTGCAAGGGTTAACTGCTAATGTTTGCCTAGGGTTAAAAATAACAAAGTTATACTCACCTGATCATTCAAGCCAGCCGGCTGCCTGTTTCCTCTTCCGCCGCAGTGATGGTATGTCCCTTTGCATCCTCACGTCCTATACACTGTATTGGATGTGATGACTCGAGGATCCTTCGACCGCTGCAGCAGAAGTGGAGCGAGGCTCTAGGGACCGGTCTATGAGCAAGCCGGCTCAGAGGATCGGGTGAGTATAACTTTTTTTTCTTTGACCCTAGGCAAAAATGAGCAGGTAACCTTTGCAGTGCAGAGGTAGCCGCCACTGCAAGGGTTACTACAAGTTTTAACTGGAGTTCTGCTTTAATATATGCTTATTCAATAACCTTTCCCAACTATAGGTTGCTCATCCAAAACACAACCAGGCATTTATTGTATTTATTGTTTATGTATAGCAACACTATTATTATGCTCATGTGGAAATGTTGAAGACCTAGGAATATTTCAGACACTGAGTTGTATTTTTATCATTTTATTTTTTGAATTATTTTCCTTTATAACTCATACAAGTCTTCAGTTAGATTCTAGTAGATTCTAGAATCTACTACACGGCACTAGACCAAGTCATAGTACAGTGACAATGTTTCCTTTACAGGTGACTTTGTGTAGATTTACCCTGCGGAAAAGCTGTACAGTAAAAAAAGGATTAATGGAAGGTGCTGGAGATACTTCCAATGCTACAGCAATTTCAGAAAAAGAAGCTAGCTGCAATATAAATGTACAAAACATATGCTACACAGTCAGGTGAGTGATCATTATATTATATTATATTATATTGGCTACCAGTCACTTAGTAGCTTTTCTACCTTCTCCCTAGAAGGTAGACACAGCAATAGAAACCCAGGAAACCATGACTCCCTGTACAGATACAGGGCAGTGAGTGAGCGTAGTTACCCTAGGACAGGAAGTGTGTTATTCTCAGGATTACCAGGTAAAAATAAAGGGGAAATGACTGAAGAAAGAAAACGAATGCAGTCACCACATCTAAGGATAGATAATATACAATATATAAATACAATATTTTACACAGCACCTCTATAGTGAAACATTCATATAAATGGATATAACAGTATACAAATAATAGAAAAAGTGACTGTATATAACAACCAAAATTCAATAATTCTTCTATACAGTAGTTCAATAAATCCAGTCCTCCCACAATAATGGATAAATATTAATATATGTTAAAAAAAAGGCCATTTATGTAAAAATGGAGAAGCCAAGCTTGAATAGAGGTGGTGGGAGTATGTCTGCCACATACAATGCTGTTTTAACACCTCTCTAACTAACGGTGACTAACAGATGATGTGGATTGGAGCAACATTCACCATATTTATTCCCAGATAATTTTTTGTACAAGTCATTCTGAATTGAGAAAGCTGGTCGGATGTCCAGTGAAACATCTTCAAGAAAAATACAGCAAGTCCAGTTGCCTTGACTTATTTTTTACAGATATACCATGACCTGGATGAATGAGAACCTTCACAGATATATATTAGAACTTTCTGTGTATCATAGATGAGTAAGCATTAGAGACCAACATTGCAGTATACTGCCATCTAGAGCTCAAAGGCTAATATTACATCTAGGAATGTCAGTAATACAAATCAGTACATATCAGAATATCGGCAATATGCTGTTGCATTTCAAACAAAAATATGTTCCACACAAACAGATGGCCCCCAAGGTGCAAGATATCAATCGGCTCCACCAGGTGCATTTTGTCTATTGCGACTTTTCCAAAAGTGGTGCAGCACAATAGACAAAAGTCGTTGGGTAGAGCGGGTTGATGTCTTGCACCTTGGGGACCATCTGTTTGCATGGAACATATTTTGCTGTGTTTTACTCATCCTTGCAAAATGAAAATAAACAATTGTGGCTGGTATTACACTTTATTTGTAAATTGTTTTTTAAACTACACCTAAAGACTTAGTATTCCCCCTTTAGGAGGTTTGAACTACCAAACTCCCTCTATCTAGTATAGAATCTTTAAATGTCGCTTCAGTTAACACGGACTTTCATCCCTATTTGTTATGAACCTAGGTAACTTGTTCATTCAACTGGTGGACACTTATCTATGTCCATATAACCCAATATATTTACATAGTACAGTCTGTTTCAAAGCAGTCCAGACATATCACCCTGGCTGATCTATTGCAATTGCCATGTTTGGAATACTTTTGGACTTTACCTGTTACTTTTGTTGTGTATTTCCGTTTGACTGTTGACATTGAAAATAAAAAATAGAATAAAGGGCATAGGTGATATGGAAACCACCCATATGAACATAGACAGCTAGCGCATAGATGCTCTTAAAGGAAATATATAGTGTAGATTTTTTTTGTGAGCAAATATTTTAATTTACTATATCGGTGTTTTATTTTAATTCTTTTTTTAATTACTTTCACATTTATACATGATTGCTTTGCTATTGCAATGGACATATAGATTTGTAGAGTAGCCAACAGTGAGAACTCTCAGAGGTTTTGTGTCATCACGTTGCCTCTCTCTTTTTTTTTTGTTTCATTCTTTGTTGACTGAATGCAATACAAAACTCTTACATAATGTATCATCAGATAGGTTAGAAAATTAAACAGACAGATTTCTATTGCACAAACGTTAGTCATAAACCCTCTTGAACAGAAATTTTCCATATTGGATTTTCATTTTGGGACAGCATAAAAAATATGCCAAAACTATGTAGAGATTAAGCCAGTAGTAAGAAGTCAATATATCTTTTTAAAACATTATTGCAACTCTAAGATACCTAAACTAGTGTAAAGAACCCATTGGCTGGGCAATAAAAATGTATGTGAGGTGTAGTGAGGAAGAGGGTGGAAGGAGTCTAGAGAGGGGGAACGTGAAAGAACACGAGTAAAGGAGGAAAAGTCAAGGAAGAGGGGAACGTGCCATAATGGTCCATCTCCACAGTATAGGACCCAAGTACGTTGCCTCTCGCCCTTAGGTTGATTTTATTAAACATGCAAGCATAAAAATTTATATTATTAAAATATATACATTATTTATGAGGTCCACATTGAACATTTATGACCCTTGTAAAGCCCGTGTAATAAACATGTTTTAAGCTGTGTGAGATTCCCTATGCTCAGCTATTGCTCCTTCATTCTGTTCATAGAGAGCGAGCGGGACCATGGTGGGAAGTACAATCGTATTACAACAAATGGTCAAGGCAGATTTTAAGGAATGTGTCCTTTTATATGGAAAGCGGTCAGATTATGGCAATATTAGGAAATTCTGGTAAGTAGGTAAAAACTTACACTGCTCAGTCTTGAGGAGATCTTATCACCTGTACTTCAATATAGAAATGACCAAATTTTTTCTTTGTTTGGGATAAATTGTTAAGTGTTAAAACCTTTTTTTTTTTTTAGAAATACTGCCTTTATTCTCCCTATTTGTTCTGGTAGCCATTGTTACACAAATAGAATGTGCTGGAAAATCTAAAATGTTATAGTTGTCACTGAATCAGGAGGGAAGGGGACATTTTCTAATGGGGACAACTGTGTTAATAGGAATTTCAGCTCGCTTTGAAAATATTTCCCCTGCTTTGTATTGTGTTCCTGGACAGGACATGAAGGTAAATCTTCCTTATAGGGACACAGACAGCATAAGAAAAATTCTGACAAGGGTTCTAGCAAAGAAAAAATGAAAAATTGACTTTAGTTATAAAGTACTTTAAATACAGCTTGTGAGGGTGTTAAGGGGTTTAATGCTCCAATTCAAAATGTTGCAACTCTTTTTGACTCTTTTGTTAAGTAATCGTAAGAAATTTCACATGGGCACTGTTTTAATTAAAAAAAGAAAACTTTTCTTGAGACAAATGTATGTATGTCACTAATTATAAAAAAATGAACATTGTTAGTTGATTGTCATATTTCACAAAAAAAAGTAATCACCAATTTTTAAGGCTCTGGAAAGACAACACTTCTGGATGCTATCTCTGGAAGGATAGGAAGCAAAGGCACATTGCTCGGTGAAGTTTATGTGAATGGGTCCCAGCTGAAGAAAGAACAATTTCAAGATTGTTTTTCATATGTCTTACAGGTACAGTACCATATGCAAAAAATTAGAAATGTACCAACACTTTTCAATGTAGCTGGATAATAAGAGTGATATGCATAATTCCTGATTTTGTCATTGGTGATGTTTCATCAGGGCAGAAACTCTAACTTTTCCTTTTAAAATCCATGCCACCCATAAAAAAAAGCTTCACTGCAAACTTTTCGTCCGATGGTCGAACTGTCATACGATTTTTGTACGGCTGGCCCAATCCTGCCCCGACCATCGCAAGGTTCAATTAGTGGTAGTTAAAAAAGCACCTGGACGAATTGCGTTAATCGACCGCACGTATTTTCGTTGCGCATGAGCAGTGTTAATTGTACGAATTTTGACGTACGCAAACGCCACCAACCTTGCGAAAATCGTACGATCAACCGATGTTATCTAACCTGCTGGAAAGTCAAAAGTCGTACGATTGTACAGTATTTGCGGTTGTTCACTGCCCAACAACCTTACGAATATCGGACGAAAACGCGATCACAAATGAAAATCGGCCAATAATAGTAAGGTGTATGGGAACCTTAACAAGCACATCCATATCTATATCGATTTCAACCATATTTGGTCAAAAAAATCTACATATTTTTCTCAAAAATAGGCACAATTAGAGTTATAGTGACATAGAAACTAAACATATTCAGTACATTCAAAACATTTCCTGTTCAGAACTGGAAAAAAAACACCCCCCTAAAAAAATAATCCATATTTTAGTAGTAGAAGCAATTTTTATCCATATTTATAAAATAATGGTGGGTATTTTTTGCTTCAGTTCACAAGTTTGGAAAAACAAAAAAACCCAGAGTCTTACTGAAACCCACAATGTACTGTATATATTATTGTTTTTTTGTTAAAAGAGACATATGTAGAAATATTGAACTTATTATTCTAATAAACAGAAATCAGTGCTAAAATGAAGTTATATTGAATACACTGTGTACAAGATGATATGCTATTTAATATACAGTATTTAGTATTTTATTCATGGGTTTATATTTTTTTTATATGGTTTCATTTTGCAGCATGATAACTTACTCGCTTACCTGACGGTTCGAGAAACTTTGACCTACACAGCATTGCTGGCACTTCAGAAACACTCCAAAGATGCCATTAAGAAGAAGGTTGGTTTCTGACAATCACCTTAGCCAGGGGTAAAGTATACCGCACCGCTGTTTATGCTGAGAGAGCTGGATGGTGCACGGTGGTGGGGATAATGGACTCAATGAAAAGACAGCATATCAGATGGTTTAAGAAATCTGCAGCTGAAATCTTTAAAAATCTAGGGTTTTAAATAACTTTAAGTCATTAAACTTTCGGTCATTTATGAAGCCTTCAATTTGTGGTAACTATCCTTAAAGCCGTCACCTGACCCTATAGGCTTCTCAGTGAATATATTGCTCTGATAAATCTATGGACATTATTGGGCAGAAGAGATCCGTTTACTCTCTTATCAGACATTTTACTCATCCAAAGGTCAGTGTGGGGAATGACAGATGGCAGAGTGGAACATCCATTACAAAGGAAGTGTTATCAACCATGTGATGATATAAGTTCCACTGTAAGTGATCTACAAATAGTACTTTGAATTCATGTGTTGTAGTAATAATCTATAGAGAAAACAGTAGAGAAACATCGGGTCTTATTTTCTGTCTAGTGTTGGGAGAAGCACCACAGCTCTCACTGCTGGCTGTCTTTAAAATGTTAGTTTCTTGACCATCCCTGTCTTCAATACTACTCTCAGTCTATGGTCTGAGACAAGCATTCAGCAAGTAAAGTCACAGAGAAATCCAAACTTTTTCCCTGCATAGCTGCTCTAGGTCAGTGACTGAGGAAATATTAGAGTCGCTGGATCAACATGACAGCCAGGTGTTGGAATTTCTTGCACAGCCTCACAGAGAAAAACAAGCACACAGTCAGATATGCATGCAGCACATGACTTGGCTAAAACAGGAAGTAAGCCACAGCTTTATTCTCTACCTTATTCAATACAACAGAGTATATCTACCATAGATATAACAGAACACTGCCATCTAGTGACCGAAAATGTATACTGCAGGAGTTATTGCTATAAACACAGTAATGTGTATTTTAACACCCGGCAACTATCATTTCCAGGAGAGGTCCTTCCTAATTCTGCACTGAGCAGTCTCTGGCCTCAATGCTTTCTAGACTGACAGACAACAAGTATGCAACAAGTCAGAGCAAAGTCAGTACTTTTGATCTGCTTACTAATTCATGGACTTCGATAATATTGAAACCTTTGGATCAGAATAACAGAAAGACCGCATTTTCATAAAAAGAGTTCTGCAATGGCAGCCCATGTTATGGACTATTGTCTTTTATAAGGCAAAGTATAAATTAACCATTGCAGTGGGGCTACCACCGCACTACAAGGGTTAAATACTAATTATGATAAGAAACATACACCCACCGGATCCTTGATCTTGCGGCAGTGAACGCTCACCTTTTTCCATTCTGCTCTGGCTGTGGAATGTCCCTTAGCATTCTCACATCCAATGCAACTCAATGGACTTGTATTAAACGTGATGACGTCAGCGGGTCTTAGACCACCAAAGCCTGGGGAAAACAGGCTGAGGGGATCGGCCTAGCAGCCAGGTGCAACTGAGGATCAGGTGAGCATATCTTTTTTTATTTTAGACCCCTAGACCAAAATGAGGGGGTAGTCCCACTGCAAGGGTTCATTTGTAATTTTCCTGGAGTTCTTCTTTAAGTTGACTATACAGGATAAAAGGTCCAGCTTAATATGATGAAGTTTTTTTAGATTAATATGATAAAGTCACCACAATAGGTTATTGGGGTAGAACTTTAGCTGAAGTTAAAGGAGAACTATGGGGTAAGTGTTTTTATCCCATAGTTCTCTTTAGGGTCACAGGAGGACATATACTAATGCCCTCCATGACCCAAAGCTCAGTATATAGCGAGCTCTTGCCCACGATATACTGACAGCGCCGGAGCCAGGACGGATCCCGACAATACTGTCAAGATCCACCCAGCTAGCTGATTGACAAGAGGCTCTGCCTATCTAGAGGCAGAGCCAGCTGTGCCCGCACCCTCCCTCAGAGAGGGGAGGGGGGAATCCCTGCGGGGAGCGGTGACTGTCTGCAGGGAGACGATCGGGAAGTGAACAGATCGCTGCATGTTTCTGCTCACTTCCTGATCAATAGAGCCGACCTCTGACAGCTTCTTTGTCACAGGTCGGCTCTAACTATGAGTATGAGTGGAAATCACTCACCTCATAGTTCTCCTTTAATAGGGAATAATACAAGCCCACAGCCATAAAATACACAAATGGTCCAGCTCATGGAAATTTTGTGCCACTCAAGCCATAAAGTATTGGAAACATTATTCATGAAAATTTTTTCAAATCACTAAACAAAATGACTTAAAAAATTGGAATTGCCCCTGTAGAAGTAACCTGTATTCAGTTTCAGGTACACTGTACCAGCAATGTCTCTGAATCCTCTGTTATATTGGAAGGTGCAGTGTTGTCTTCCCTTGTCTGTTTCAGGTTGATTCAGTTATGGCGGAGCTAAGTCTCACTCACTCTGCAGACACAGTAATAGGAGGACGCATCTTCAATGGCATTTCCAGTGGAGAAAGACGTCGGGTGTCCATAGCAGCCCAATTAATTCAGGACCCCAGTGAGTATATCATTATCAATTGCACTATTCACTATATAAATATGGAAGTTGACATGCTGGTTTCATTTAATAGGAGCAAACTCCAGGGCTATCCTCTACATCTTTGTTTCACTATCTCGTAAATGATTGACTAGGAACGAACCCACAGTCAGTGAACTTCAAATCTGGGTCTCTTCACACTTTTACACTACGGCGTTTCCTTGTACCCCGCAGTATAACGTAATACCGCACCTTGCATTATGTGGCCCATTCATACAATGTAAGCTACAGTGCATGCACTGTATGAATGGGCTTCAAAATGCAGGCCATAGTACTGATTGAAGGAGAGATGCTCATGTGACTTTGATAGGTTATGTGACCAGGCTCTCCTCCCAGAATTATTTTTGAAAGTTTACAACGCCTGTTTATTTTTATAGTGCTCCACTCGCTTCAGACTCCAAAGCCAGCAAAGCGCAATACACATTTGAAAAGCATTATTGTGCTTCATTAATGTGTGGAGGCGGAGCTCTTTTTTTATTTTTTTTATTTACAACCATTATGCTGTTTTTAAATGTACTCTATATGTACTGATACAAGAATGTGGATGACAGCCCCATAGCCTCTACCTTTAGAAACAAGTCACCATTAGTAACTCATGCATTGTTTTTTTGCTAGATGCGCATTAAAAGAAAACTGTTTTAAGGAAATATGAGGCAATCATTAGTGACCTCTCCTTCTGATAGTGCTAGTTCACTGGATCCCATACTGAAGCCTATTTTGAGCACTTTTTGAGTCACTGACCCAAAACAGGCCAGGACGTTTAGCTTTGCTCACTGTGTAATTGTTCTGGGTCAGTGACACACAGTATTGTAGCCAGAGGCAGCCAGGCAGCCAGACAGCTAGCAATCTCAGAAGGAAGGGTCAGCAATGGCAGCTTCTTAATTGTTTCGCTTTCCTTTAAAGTGAACCTGTCACTTTTCCTATTAGTAAAGTGACAGGTTCTCCTGATAGTTCATTTTCCTCTCTTTGATCCTTTTTCCCCCCCGGAGCCCAATTAAAAAGCCCTTGGTAAGCCTAATGTCATGTTGAAATGAACACAGGGCTTATGACTATCCCTTATGAGAAAGAAGGGGAGAAGATCATATCATAACCCTATATCCAAGTACCAGGAATTTCCAAAAGCTCCCGCAAAGAAATAGAGTGGTAAGGTACTGTGGGAAAGGTATCAGTAGAAAGGAATTTGTCTCTTGCCCTTAATGGACAAAATGTCAAGTGTACTTTGCATTAATTGGAATACACAAGAATGTACAAATAAATGAAGCAGGCTCATAAATGTAATATCATGTCCGCCAGCAGCCAGCAAATGATAACCGCTCCTCATTGTCCACCACAGTATTTTTTAAATTATGCTAATTGTGGCCAAGAATAATATAATCACACAGCATAATACAAAGTATAATGACTGTCGCTGATTTCCACGCATTGCGCTCCCTTTATTTCACTCACTGACTCCCATGTCTCTTGTAGAAATAATTTTACTCGATGAGCCAACTACCGGTTTGGATGCAATGACGGCAAATCATATCGCGTTACTGCTTTCTGAGCTGGCTCGAAAGGACAGGATAGTGATTATTTCCATTCACCAGCCACGATCAGAACTGTTCAGAGTGAGTAAACAGCAATTGTACATTTCCTGCCCTGACTTTGCTCTACACCCCTACATTAACATATACAATGAAAGTGTTATCGGGGAAGGCTAAAACACATGGCAGCTGAACAACCAATGTTTGCTATGCCTGCCTAAATAATAATAATAATACATTTTGCTTTACCACCATTATTATTTCTGTTCTGGCAAATTTTGAAACCAATAACAAACACAAAGCTACTGCTAACATTTTTATTCATGTAGAAAAGTAACTTGGTTGTGAGCAAAGTAAAAAGCCCTCCACTCAGAAGTCTGACAAGAAGGTGAATGGTGATGGAAGTGGCTCTGAGGTAGGGTTGCCCACTTTTCTTCAAGCAAAACCCAAACACTCTAGCCCTGTGCAGCGATTTTTGGAAGAATATACTGGGGAGAGCAAGGAGAGACAGCCAGGAGGATGAGTGAGGAGAGACAGCCAGGAGAGAGAGAGAGAGAGTGAGGAGAGACAACTAGGAGGAGATAAAGACCGCCAGAAGGATGAGCAAAGAGAAACAGCCAGGAGAGAGAAAGCAAGGATAAACAGCCAGGAGAGAGAGTGAGGAGAGACTGCCAGGGGACAAGAGCGAAGAGAGACAGCAAGAAGGATGAGTAAGGAGAGACGGCCAGAAGGATGAGTGAGGAGAGACAGCCAGGAGGATGAGCAAGGAGAGACAGCCAGGAGAATGAGGAGAGACAGCCAGGAGAGAGATTGAGGAGACAGCCAGGAGAGAGAGCGAGGAGCGACAGCCAGGAGAGAGAGTGAGGATAGACAGCCAGGAGAGAGAGCGAGGAGAGAGAGAGGAGACACAGCCCGGAGAGAGAGAGAGGAGACACAGCCAGGAGGATGAGCAAGGAGAGAAAGTCAGGAAAAGGAATGAGGAGAGCTAATGAGCAACACATCTGCCTGAAGCAGAACCCCTGTGCCCTACAAGACGTAGCTGCACCCTGTATTTCAGACACTTCCTTGCTCCCCAAGTTCTAGCTCCCCTCCGTGTCTAATGCCACCTCCATGCACTCAAGTGGGAACACCAGTATCCTGTGGTTGCCCCTGACTGCATGACATTGTGACATCTTGTGTCCGGGTTTCTGCTGGTCAGGACACAGCACATACAGGACTCAAAACCCGAACTGTCCAGGTGAGTCGCGGACAAATGGCAACACTACTCTGAGGTCCCTGGGGTGCTGTGCACAGATCTGGCCTCATAAAGTCAGAGGTGTTGATTTACTAAAGGAGTAATAATTGTAAGGTTTATGTACGCCTTAAGACTCATAAGAGTCATCTTTCTGTGATGAAAAACTCCAGGTTGTAGAAAAATGAAGCCTTGTGGTGGGAATAACCCCACACTGCAAGTGTTAACACACCATACTGCAAGTGTTAACTGCTCGTTTTAGTCTAGGGGCTCAAATAAAGAAGAAATACTCCCCCGATCCTCAAACCCACCAGGCTGCTAGACCGGCCCTTTAATACAGTCCAGTCACCACTGCTCTCCTTGTGCCGCGAGACTGGTCTTGTATCCACCACCCCTCCTGTCATTTCTTGTGGGTAGCCTATAGTGGGTGAACCTGTTGGATCCAACCCATAGCTCTGCTCTCTGTATAAGCTATGTGCAGCATTGTAATGATCTGGATGCTTCTTTTTCAATGCAATATCTGCGTTTACAAAAGCATTGGGTGCACACAAAGCAAATTTATATATTTTGTGGCTATTGAGAAATATGTGTAACATCCAGCAATTACCGTATGTAAAAAGTATTTCCATTAGACTGATTTCCTTAAGTGCATATGTAAAAAAAATAAAGGAACCTACCACTTTACTCATCAATATTTTTAATTTATATTTGAACAGATTTTTGATAAGATTGCTATCATGAGTTCTGGGGAGCTTGTTTTCTGTGGTAACCCCGAAGAAATGATCACATTTTTTGACGAATGTGGATATGAGTGTCCTGAACACTCCAACCCATTTGATTTTTTTGGTAAGAATGAAGTTTATGTATTTATAGACTTGGATGCTTATAGGACCAGACTATTCCAAAGATTTGTACATTGAACATTTACCACTATACAGAATTCCTAGCCATAGGTCCAAATTTATTCACAAACAACACAGATTGTGGCTTAGAGTGACAAGGTCTCCAGGTTCGGCCATCTGGCCATTATTCTGATGGCCATCAAAGATATTTTGATGTACAACAAATTGAATCAAGAGATTTCTGTGCTGGGACTTTTGGTGCAGGGGAACCTGGCGCAGGAGGGTTGAGAATGCAAACAAAGGTTTATAGTGGAACTAGATTCAAGCAACCTTTTCCTATGAGACACTACAGTTGTGAATTACTTTGTTATCCATTGTGCAGCACTGTGTGTCTGCTAAGTAGCCACCATATTAGCGGAGGTGTGAGATATCACCAGGCAGCACTTTCTGTAGCTGGATCTTGCCCTCAATGACACCTTCAATGTTATTCAGTAATCAGAAGCAGCAGTAGGCTGGATATGCTGCTGATTATGTCATGACAGGTCCCTATGAGGCTAGGAGAATGGAGTGTGGCCAAGCATCACTTCAAATGGTGAATAATATGCTAAAGTAAGCCAACCACCCTAAATATTAATTCTGCATTTTCATGTGGGCAATCATTTCAGACGAATGTGCATGTCTGTTCAGTCAGTAGACCACCCAGTAGCTGGCCTTGAAGGAAACCTGCATTGGGGAAACATGGATATTGCCACCAGGGTAGGGATGCACTGATACTGGTATCGGAATCGGTGCCGATACTGAGCATTTGGGCGAGTACCGATACTTACCCTGATACCAGAACTTCCGATCAGAGGGAGATTCCCTCTGACTGGCAGTACCATGAGGGAGCATGGAGCCAGCTTCCTCATTGGCTCGAAAGCAGGCTTTTTGCTGCCTAGAGACATTGCGAGGCAGTCTGGCTTCCTGACCAATCAGGAAGCTGGAGGGCACATCATGCCTCCTGGCTTCCTGATTGTTTAGGAAGCCAGCTTCACGCTGCCTAGTGACACTGCAAGACAGCCTGGCTTCCTGACCAATCTGGAAGCCGGGCGACAGGTCATTACCCACCGCCTGGCTTCCTGATTAGCTGGGCAACATGGTACCTCGGGATGCCAATATCGTATCAGTGAGTACCAAGACAAATTTCTGTACTCTTACTCGATGCCAAAAAACTGGTATCGGTGCATCCTTACACCAGGGTCGTCCTTTTAAGGGGACAGCTTTAGGCGGTATCTCTTTGAATCATGTAGGGGAGTGAGTGTCCCAGGTTGCTAAGAGCCTGGTGGGGAGATCTGTAAAGGCCATGTACATCTCCCCGCCAAGCTCTTAGCAAACTGGGATGCTCTGGCCAGCATCCCGCCCAGCTCCTGGCAACCGGTGAGTTTGCCGTGACGCCAGCCAGCGTGTCCAACCCCCAGCCCTCCTACACCGCCTCAAGCAGCGAAAAGGCTATGGACACCACTGATTGCCACTGCTGTCTCCTTCCGAAAATACGAGGTGTGACAATTTAATCCCTGGAATTGAACTGTAAAAAATAAATAAATAGAGAATCCACTTGTCAGGCCAGAGTTTCCAGTCTTTTCCTCCAAACAGATTCCCTTGATTTCTTCATTGAATATTCACCATAAGCCTGTTGTAACAGAGATAAAGTTCCAGTTGCATTTTTGCCAATTTTCACGCAAAATTTGACGTTAATCCGCTGCTCCAGATTCCTGTCACTCTTTTTCCGTCAACAGTGCAATGCACACGTGCCACTTCTTCTGCTACTCCATAAGGACTGAGTCAAATGGTCTGTGACCCAGGCGAGGGCAAGTTAGAACATGTTAGAACACCCTCGGTTGCAAATGGCTGTGTGAGTCACCACCATAGCGATACGCTGCAGGCATTCTGGGAATTAAATTGTAACACCTCGTACAAGTTCCTTATCTTTGATACTGATCAATTAGCTTTAGTGCACTGGCTACAAACAAGCATGCACATTAGGAGTTCTGTATTTCCTGATCTTCATGCTCTTTATGTTTTTTAGAACATAACTGTTCAGTAGTGACAGATGTCTAGCCCTATTTTAAAGCGCCTCCCCTTAAAACAGCCAGTGCTAAGGACATTATTAAGTCTGGGCTTTAAGAAGCAGATTCACAGGAACTTATTTGAAGTCAAGTGCAAAAAGCTTTATGGTTTTGTGTGTTTTGCAGGTGCTATCTGCTGTTGTTCTATATATATATATGGTTGCTGTAGTTCCAGTATTGTTACCACTTTAATTCCTATAAAACACATGTGTCTGTATCCTATATCTAGTGGATGTTACATCTGTTGACACCAGAACAAAAGAACGTGAAATGGAGACATACAGCAGGGTGCACACCATAGGTGCAGCATACAGGGACTCCAGCCAGTTCCAAAACACCTTGGAGCTTATGGAGGCATCAAAGGCTGCTAAAGTGAAGCAGATCATCCCATTCAAAACAAAAGAAGCCCCAAATGAGTTGTCAAAGCTTTTTGTCTTGTTGAGGTAAGAAATCAATGACGTGGTGGCTGCTGGTAGGGTGTCCAGAGATGGGCTGCCCTGCTTAGTATGAGAAGGGAAGGGAGTCACAGGTTTAAGGTTCCTTTAAAATAGTCAGGATCTCGATGAATGTCCTGCTTGTTCAGGCTCCCTTATGTCTTGTGATCAGAAGATGTTTTCTTACACAGACAAACCAATCACTAAAAGATTTTTTTTAAATTAACGGTAAAAATTTGATGACCATCTTTCAGTGGGCAACTATTTGACATCAAGGTGGTTTTATTGCCTCACATATCAACATATCAGTCTGTATTGCAGAATTTACCAGCATACGGCCAATGTGCTTCTGCTTAAAGTAAAACTGAAGCCATAACTTTGTGGGGGGTTTTTGAAGGTTATAGCCCCTGCTAGCTTTCCATTGCAATCTGTGTCCCTCAACTTCAGGAAGTGTGAGAAAATCCCTTCAAAGAGAGGGAAATCCCTGGTGGATAGCAGGGTCACCAGAGCAAGTGTCTCCATTGAAAGATTTTCCATATATTCCTGATCTGGCGACAACCCAAAATATAGCATTTTCTTTCATTTTTACTCACCAGGACAAAAAAGTGAATCTATCTAACAGGGACACAGACAGCAATGAAAACCCGATAGGGGTTCTAATCCCTCTCCACACTTTGGGCTTCAGAGGCACTTTACGTTAAAGTGGGTCTGTGTTTTTATGCCCGAAAAGCCATATCAATGTATTGGAAAAAGCCTCGTCCTCTTCCACTTCACATCTTTGTTAATTTAGTGGAAGATGTAAATCCCAAATATAAATTGATTTATGAAGCTAGAGCTTGCCTGAAAAAATTCCATAAGATCTGGGGTCCATGGCTGGGATCTTTGGCCTTCGATGGTTGAATTTGTTACCTGTTTACGGTTTCTTATCCGTTCCCTTGTACTACCGGGTTGATTGTATGTTATAGAGTGGGAGTGGGATGGTTGGTTGTGTGTGCTATGTATGTGTATACATTGTATTGGGTTGTCGTGTTTTATTTCAGTCTTTTGTTATATTCTGCAAACTGTGTGTTGCTGCGGGTTCCCTCATTTTGTTAATTGACAAAATTGTTTTACAAAGAAACACCTTTAAAAAAAAAAAGTTAAAGTGTGTCTAAAGCCACAACATTTTATTACTAGTTTTGATTAGCGTTCACTCATAAAACCTCTGACAGGTTGGTATTAATGTCCCTGCTAAGAAGACTCAACCTTGTTATTTGTCCTGGTAACCATTGACATCAAAACAAAAAAGGATGGGAAGCCAGTGGCATCACAAGGGGAGTGCGGGGGGGTGCGGCCTGCACCCGTGTGACACCATTTGAGGGGTAACACCAAAATGACTGACAGTCATTTTGGTGTCACCCCTCTGAAAAATCGGGCACACGGTCATGGACCGACAGCCCAACAGTTGCAGGAGAGAGGAGGGGACCTGGCAGCATACCTCATCCCACCTGGTGAACGTCCCCTCCTCTCTCTGCCGGCGTCCATCACCAAGATGGACACCGGCAGGTATCACCAAGATAGCCGCGCATGCGCGATTACGCACGCGCGTGTTGATGTCATGGCGGGGTGTCACCCAGTACCCACTCTGGGTGACACCCGGCCTTGGGACGTCCCTGTGGGAAACCCAATGTTTTAGAGAACAAGAATAGAAGGTAAATCTTCTAAAGGTGACACCTATGTCAATATCTGTCCAAGTAAGGAATTCCCTTAGCTTGGAGAGATTTCCTCTCCTTTCTATTGTGTCACCAGTGCACGAAATAAAGGGAAATCCCCAGTGGGACACAAAAAAAAATAACTTACCATGGGTTTAACCACTACTTTATCCAACACTATTCCAATCCAAAAATGTGTTGGGTTTTAGATATACTCTAAATACAATCAGGGCCGGTGCTAGGATTCGTGCCTACACAGGCAAGGTGCATTTTTGCGCCCCCCTCCCCGACCCCCTGTAAAAACAGGGCATTTTGACAAGTACTTGTACCTGTCAAAATGCCCTGTGAGGTGCCGGCGTGTCGGGATCCTCAGGCAGTCGCCGGCCAGCTAAATTAGGACCCCATCTGGAGCTCCTCCCACTGGACCAGTGCTTACTCGCCGCTGCTCTCCCGCACCGAAGGTAAGTGAAAAAAAAAAAAAAAAAGCGCAAACATCGGGGCATTTTGACAAGTACAAGTACTTGTCAAAATGCCCTGTTTTTTTCCCCCTCACCCTCCAGCGCCGTAAGGCGGCCGCCTGACTTGCCTTGTGGTAGCGCTGGGCCTGAATACAATGAATGAATGCCTTGTTATTGGTGATCACATTTATATGTTATTGATACTTATTGTTATGGCAGAGATCTGAATGCTGGGTGTGACTTGGGGTGTTAACGGAAAGAAAGTGGTAGCATCTGTTTGATTTCATGGCAAATGCAGGATTTAGGCAGTGCATTAATGAGTGTTGCAGTGCATTACAACACAAGTGCATTGCCTTAGTGCCTTGTAGTGTCATCGAAAATAGATGGCACCCCAATGCACATGTAACATGTGTTGCCATGTGTTATAGCAATATATGTTTACAGTGTTTCCCTGATATTAGCTTACATTTGTTTAATCCTTTTTGTAGGCGAACAGTACGAAATCTTTCCAGGAACAAATCTGGGATAATTATGCGCCTCTCTCAGAATTTTATATTTGGCCTCTTCATTGTCTTTTTCCTCCTTCGATTTAAGAATGATGTTTTGGATGGAGCCATACAGGACAGAATTGGGGTCTTTTACCAGTGTGTGGGTGGAACATCATACACAGGTCTCCTTAATGCTGTTGCTTTATGTAAGTAGTAAATGCTTCTACATTCGCTGGACCAGTCTTATCTAAACTCAGCAAACTATAGAAAAACGTGAACTGATATTTTTTTAGACTTACACCCCAGAGAGATAATGCAGTGGAAGTCTAATGATCAAGGTATCAGAATTATCTGGTCAGTCTTCTGGCAACAAGTATAATTCCATCCTGCCATACTCATCCAGAACAGAACATACCCATTGAAGTGGACTTGAAATCAAAAAGTGAAGATTTGCTATGTTATAGTAACATCTTGAAGTTTTGTGTGTCTAAGCAGTACCCTGAAATATTTATCTTTTTTTTTCTTCTTGAATTCCTTCTGAAAAATAGCAGTGCACTTCCAAGTATGTGATTGTACTGCTTTACCTACAGCTTTGTAACTGTATATCTGCCAAGTGAGATCTTCTAAGGAACTGCTGCTAGAATGCCAGTCTTATGAAATTTGCAATGAGATTTGGTGATGTCACTACTGTGGCCCTCACTGTTCTCTTTGCTGGATGCCCTAACATGAGGAAGCAAAACACTTTCTCTACCAAGATGGCTACGTGCACATAGAGACACAGTTCAAGGAATAGTAGGTCAGTAATGGAGAAAAGGTCAGCTGCAGGGAAACCATAGGCAATACTGTTGACTATCCCTTTGCCCACTTCCAGAGTTCAGACATAGTACAAACTACCTTTATTTTTATAGTATTAGCTACACTTTTCTGTTATATCAGTTGCACATGGTGTCTAAATGGGACTGTGCAACCCACTAGGCATCAGAATTGCTCTTAATAATGACACCTGCACTGACACCACCCTGTCTTCCTTTGCAACACAAGTCTGTGCTAGGACACTTGTGATGAGCGGTGTGGCTAGGGCTAGATTTACTCTCTCTACTCAGGTTCCTCAATGCGCACCCCTACCCGCCAAACCCGCCCCCCATGGAGAAAGGCAGACCTGCAGGCTGCATACAAGTGATCTTGGCGACATCGCCGGGATCACTTGTCCAAAACAAGCGGCGGCTTCCCTGCTGTACATTTAGCTCTGCTTGCCCAAAGCAGATGTAAATGTAGAAAACAACTACCCACACAGCGCCCGGAACTGCATGGCCCGAGCATTGGGAGATAGGAATTCCACACTACTGCTGCCCCTCTACTCCCTGCTGCCCCTCTACTCCCTGCTGCCCCAAGGCTGGGCCTTGGTTGGCCTTGTGGGAAATCCGGCTCTGGGTGTGGCTGTTACTCAGCTCTGCCAGGACAGAGCACTGAGGTGGGATTCCAGGAAGAAGCATTTTTACTAGGTGTTTTAAAGGAATTTCTAAGAAAAAAACAGTCACACATAACATGTAGGGCAGAGCTCAAAATTTCAAGTCCTAAGCTACTAGCCAGGCCTTAAGAGTTACTGGCCACCAGTTGCCCCACCTAACCGTTACCCTGCCCCGGCCTTAACTCCGCCCCTAAACACACCCTCTTAAATAATCTTATGATAATTCTTATCTTATGATAGCTTCCGCTTGTAAACGGCAGGGTAGGGATTCCGGCTGCAGGAAAACGCAAGTTCCTGACACAGGAATCCCTAATCACACCTGAAATATACTGTAGGTGTGAATGGGGCCTAATATACACATACACTAAAGGTGCCCATACACCTGCCGATTATCGAACGATGTGTGTGATCCCGCGATCGTACGATAATCGGCAGGTGTATTGGCAGCGTGCGACCGCCTCTACTGTAAGGTCGCACGTCTTTCGTCTTCCGAGCACGCTGGAAAACCTGCCGAAAATCGTACGATTTTCGGCGGGTTGGTAGCGTGGTCGGAAGACGAATGCTGCACGGGCCGGTGTGCGCAAGCGCACTCGGCCTGCTCTGCACTGCAATCATCGGAAGCCCTCCCCTCAGCGGGGAGGGCTTGCGATGATCGCAAGTACGATCTGTCCTGTCCAAGATGGACTCTCCTCACATACATCCTTTCCTTCGGCCGAGCTCAGAACTGTCAGAGCTCCGGCCGAAGGAAGCCAGAGCTGACAGGAGCTGCTCTGCGGTCTGCAGCCGACACAGATGCAGACCATGGAGCTGCTCCCGCAAGTCAGGTATGCGGTATGCGATCGCGTGCCTGACATGTCAGCTGGCTGCGGGCCACATAGTACCGGCTCACAGGCCGGAGTTGGAGACCCAAATTTCCACTCGCCCTCACTTTATTTTTACTCGCCAAATGCGAGCTGTGGAAATTTTGAGCCCTGATGTAGGGGTACATGACTATAAAGAGATAAAAGATGTAAGACATCAATTGGACTGTAACAAGATAGAAAATAATCATAATCAATAGAAATAATCAAATCTCTCTTCTTTTGCTTCAGTCCCAGCCCTGCGTGCCATTGGCGACCAGGAAAGCAAGGATGGTTTATACCAAAAGTGGCAAATGCTTCTAGCTTACATCATCCACATTGTGCCAATCAGCTTTCTCAGCGTGGTAATATTTGGAGCTTGTATGTACTGGTATGTTTATGTTTCCCCATTACTTGTATGAACTTCCAAGACCATTTACAAGCAAAGCTTACTAACTGTGACTATTGTTATTACAGGACTATAGGACTAAACCCAGAGCTGACACGGTTTGGATGTTTCATTGCAATCACCCTACCTCCACACCTCATGGGGGAACTGCTCGCTCTTGCAGTTCTTGGTTTGGTGAATAATCCCAACATTGTCAATGCTGGAGTGGCTCTGCTGAACATTGCTGGGATCCTTGTGGGGGCAGGACTTCTAAGGTGAGATTCTTGTTGTAGATGACTGCACAATAGGATAGTGTGGTACCAACATTTCCACAATATAAATTTTGCTCGCTATTGATTTGTATGTATTTCATGGTCTTAATTGGTCTGAACACGCACCCTGTATATGTGTATCAGATCCTCACTAGGTAATATGGCCTAGAACAGAATGACAACCCCAGACACTTAATCTTACAAAAGAAGGCAGCTGTAGAAGAGCTCACTGTCATTTGTCCGTCCTTCATCTCAACCGAAGCCATGGGCTAAAATCTTTTGGGACCATTCATGCATGTTTCATCCATTAGGTCAATCGCGATCTACCAGTTGATCGCAAAGCGAACACTGGTAGATCGTGATCGGCTCACTGACCTGTGTCCTGTCCTCCCGCGGTGCTCGTGGGGCTGAATGTCTCAGAAGCTGTAGATGGGAAGGGGCGGGACACCTCTCCCAGTCTGCACATTCGGCCACACGAGCACCGCAGGAGGACAGGACACCGCACCTGAGAGGAGACCCGGGAAGCTGCTGCAGTGCAGGTAAGGAAAGACAGCCAGAAGAGAGAAAAGAGACAGCAGAGAGAGAGAGAAGAGACCGCAGAGAGAGAAGAGGCCGCAGAGAGAGAGAGAGAGAGAGAGAGACAGTGAAGAGCGTGAGGAGAAAGAGAAAAGAGACAGCCAAGAGAGAGGTCCGGTTCACACCACAAAGTCTACGTTCCAGAGTGTTCGACCTCTGGAATGCACTGGAACGCAAGCCGACCGGCTCCCTGCGTTCAGGGACGGGAGGGGGCGTGGCGGTGCATTGAAGTCAATGGCACCGCAGCCACGCCCCCCCAGTGCGATCGCCCGCACCCAGAACGAAGACACATGCGTGCCTGCATTCCGGTCCAGTGCGATCTGCAAAAATGCTGCAAGCAGGCAGCATTTTTGTGCGATCTGCAAGCAGTGCATTCTGCAAGCAGCATTTTTGCAGCTCATACCGGACTGGAACACAGGCACTAATGTGCCTGCGTTCCGGGCGATCAGACTGCAGGCCGGGGGAGTGGCTGCGGTGCCATTGACTTCAATGCACCGCCACGCCCCCTCCCGCCCCTGAACGCAGGGAGCCGGCCGACTTGCGTTCCAGAGGCCGAACGCTCTGGAACGCAGACTTTGTGGTGTGAACCGGCCCAGGGAGAGACAGCAGAGAGAGGAGAGAGAGAGAGAGAGAGGCAGTAATCCCAGTAGCGATGTGCTTGTTTTCTAAATAAAAGTGTTTTTTTCGATGGTTCTAATTTAGCTCATCATTTGAAATCTGGTTGACTGTGATCTCCAGACAAAAAATTGTGGGCACCCCTATTATAGGGGGTGCTGTCCACTACAAAGGTCTACAAGTATTCTTACATGCCTCTTGTCTATTCACGGCATGCTTTGTATTCTGTGATGTTAGTACCTTTTTAACCATATAGAAATTATTATCCATACGGTTCTGTATTGAGAAATAAAAACCTGACAGAAATGTAAGCTCTTCCCCAATATATCCAACACTAGAAAAGCTTAGGCTTTAACTTAGTACAACTTCATTGCATATAGCGTACTGACCATCTGTCCTATTTGTCGCCTATATGTGTAACACCCGGTAACGGGTGTGTGCACTGATCAGGTCTTTTCTGCCCGTGCGTGCCCGCTAGGGGGCGCGCGCGAGCAGAAAAAAATTGCCGTCTGGAGACGGCAACCCGCAGATGCAGCAGTGCCGTCCGTCCGTTTTTCTACTACGGGCGGACGGCAAGAGGTTAAACATCCTTGGAATGTCTTTAGGATTTGCCGACACATCTTTAAGCAACTTAACCTTTATTTTCCTTTTTCACTGTAAAACAATGGATTTTTTTTTCTTGTTTAGGAGTTTACAAGAAATGCCTCGGGTTTTTCAACTATTAAGTTACATTACATACCAGAGGTATTGCTGTGAATTATTGATAGTCAATGAGTTCTACGACCTGAATTTCACTTGTGGTAAGTTATGACAATTTCTACTACAATTAGGTAGTCATGAATTACATTAACATCATGTCATAAGATGAGGGATCATGACTAGAGGAAGTGCCAGTTCTGTGCAATATGTTACTTCTAAGAAAAGGGTTACTTTCTGTAAGGTTCAAATGAACATTATGTATGGCAGCAATACAACATACTAGGGCCTTATTAAGTTAAAATTCCTGGGCCGGCAGCAGGCAGAGAGGAATAGAGGAGCTCATGTGACTCATAAAATATCAGTTGGAAATGTCTTTGCAAACATACCGTAAGTCAAGAAAATTGCCCCATAAGTGTTGGTGAGATGCATGGGCTCAGGGAGAAGACCGTGCTGGATCCTTAGAAGGCAAATCCTCTATTTTTACAAGTTCAAGGCCAGTTAAAATATAATAGTGCCAGCAATTATGGTGTGAAAGATAAATGTTAGGATGAGCCATTCAGCTCCAGATTCATCATCTAAATTAGACTGGAGTAAATCTGTAAATGTAAAGGTTACATCCACCCAAAACAAATCAATATTTTCCTCTTGGTTCTCTATTGGTTGAACTCAATGGACTTGCGTCTTTTTTCAACTATCGTTGGGTAACAGTCCGTATAATCAGCCACCAGATTTTTATATTGCTTGGTGAATCCAGTAGTAGGATTTTAATGCCACAGAAAGTTTTTAGATTTGCTCTGCCATTGACATTATTACAGAGCTAAAGGAGTCTCTCCAAAGTAAGATAACCTAATAAATAAAGAATCTATAGTACCAATTGTTATGGGGGAAAAAGTATAACTGAGCTGGAGGAGGCAGAGATTTCAATGCCAGGAGTCACTGGATAATTCACACAACCTTCATCCAATAAACACAGGAATTTCAGTTTTAGATATATTTAAAAACACAATGAAGGAAATCCACCATCTACAAGTTTCATAGTACGGTACTTTAAATTCATTCCGTAGATCATTGTTTCTATTTTTATTTCACAGGCGGTTCAAGTAACTTAACTGGACCCACATCACAATGTCCGTACACTAATGGCAATGACTTCATTGAAAGCATCTACCCCGGAGCCATTTCCAGGACCACATTTGACTTTCTAATGCTTTATGCCTTTGTCCCTGCAATGATCATTGGCTGCGTCATAAGTTTTAAATTTAGAGACATTCTGATGCGAAGATAGGAACTTATTCCAGGATTCTGGTGGCAATGATGGTTTGGTGCAGTGGTTATTATGTCATGTAAAACTTTGTGTTAGTATTGTGCAAGGCCATGACATGAGTGTATTAGTCCTAAAAGTTATTTTTCTGTAAGTATGCGAGTCTCAAATGATTTCCAAATTTCAGAGACCTCTCATAAGTTTTCAGGAAATTGCAAACTTTAATTTTTAGTGATATTTGGGGAATTGAGCACATATGGTGAGCGCTTAAGGACCAGTCTTGAAGCCGTCTTGAACATAAACAGGACAGTCTTTATTCCTCTTCAACATAAATTAAAGAGAAGAGTTCATGCACTTCTTATAATAATAATCCGCTTTTCCTCAGCATATACAGTCCTCAGCACACCTCTGTGTACTCACACTGCTCACCCCTCATGAGCACTCACACTGCTCTCTCAGCAGTGTCCACCAGGTCCCTTGGGTCACCGACCTTTCCCAGCTTCCCCTGGCTGATCCATGTGCGTCCAGCACGCACCCGAGTCTGCTTGTGGCTGTGTGCCTCCTGCACACCCACACACCACTGGCTTGACCCTTGTGTGCCTCCAGCACACACCACACCAATTCCTCCCTTGAGCTCTGGTCTGGGCTCTTAATGAGGCTGCTCTCAACCACCTGATCACCGGCAACACCTGACCTCAGGACAGGTGATTTCATTCCATCCAGAACTCTAAGATATCTCGAGAGATCCAGATCCCAGTTATAATCCAGAAAAACCGGAAGAAACTGAAAGGCCAGCTTCTTCCCTGCAAAACTATTTATTTTCTGGAACCTCTCAGCCCCTTTGGCTAAGAGTCCTGGGTGACTGTGTTGCCAGCATACTCCATGGCATTGCCACGCACTGCCACAATTGGTATTTATCTGAAGTAACACTTTGTGGTGGAATTAAGATTGCACAGCCCCATAACGATTAGAACTCAGCTACACTATAATGGCATTCTAAAAGAGACATGATTCCTGTTTTAGACTGACAAGGACTCTTCTGCTGCTAAAAAGGACATTTTGGGCATTTTATGCCCAAAATAATATTCTATGAAATGAAGATGTCAAACTCATCTGGGGGG